GGCCCCCAGCGGCGCAGGCGGGAGGGCTGGCAGCTTCCTCCGGAGCTCGCCAGGCGCCCCCAGCCCGAGCGCCCCAGAAATCTGCCCAGGGAGGTCTCCCCGCCGCCCACTCCCATCCAAGTCCAACAGCCCACTGGCTAGGCACGATGCCACCAGCCACGCCGGTGGGGAGCTTGAGCGAGCCAAACAACTGCTGGCCTGGGTGGGGTGGTCCCTGCGGTCACTCGGGCAGGGGACACCCGTGGACACCCACTGTGCTCCTTCCCGCGGAGCACCATGCAGCACACTGCAAATGCCTGTTAAAGGAAGGGGTGCTGCCTATTATTGGGGACTGGGGGCTCACTCCACCCCTGGCCTGAGAGGAGACGCAGGCGAGTGACAAGCCCCAGCGTGGGTGGGTGCTGAGGCCGCATGAGGTGCCCACGCTCCACGCACAGCAGGGCGGGTCAGACTGCCCTAGACAAAGCCCTCTTGTATTGAGAGGACAGGGACCCAAGCAGGAGGGTGACATGGAGAGAGCGAGAGGTGACAGGCAACGAGAAAGGTGTTCCCTCCTCTTCGCACTCCTGCATTTTTTCAAATTCTTTCCATTTTCTTCTTCAATTACAAATGCAATGCTACATCCTGTTAAGAACAGACTGGAACATCAGCTTCGTCCCGCCCCCGCCCCTCGCCGTTCTGAGCCAGCCACTATTAATAATCCCTCAGCCTCCTTCTGGAATGGTCCATAGCCTCTTAGAACACGGAGGGAGCCCCTGGTCCTCTGGTCTTGCCTCCTGGGCTGCCCAGGCAGGATCCCCAGATGAGGAAAAAGGGTCAGGATTTTGCCCAAGGACCTCGGAGCGCCCAGCTCTCAGCCGAGAGCCTTGAGATGAGGGGGGTGGGGGAGGGGCCCCGCATCCCAACCCCGCCTTGAGAATACAAAAGAAACCCTGCCACTAGACTCTTTTCACTGACAGGTGACATTTTCTTAGCTGGATTCCCAACACGTGACCACCACGAGCGCCCCAGGGTCCGGCAGCCCCTCCCCCACATGCCGCGTGGGTGCGGGCGCCTGGCGGCCCAAGACCGACTTCCGTCTCTCCTCAGGGACGCTAGGGCTGGGTGGCAGTGCCCAGGACGGTGCGGATGCTCTGGGCCTGAAACGCAGGCCTTGTCATCCAAGTCCCAGCACGGAGGGCAGGCCCTGGCCTTCCTGGAGTGGCGGGAGGAGGGGTCCCGAGGGGAGCTGGGCTGGCGCGCACTGGACAGAGAGACCGGACGGGGCTCCGAAGCCGGGCTCTGGGTGGGGCGGGGAGCAGGTGCTGATGGAGGGAAATGGGTGCGGGCCGCGCGGAGCAGACGGCCGGTCGGCCTTCCCCGCAGGCGGTGGGGTCTGCCCCGGGGTGAGGGAGCCAGGCTGGAGGCCCAGGCCGGAGAGGAGGAGGGCCAGCAGCGGTGCCTGGTGGAGGGGGCGACCCCAAAATGGACGGCCCTGGAAGGCAGTGCTCCCCGCCCGTGTGCGTTTGTACTTGCTGGCCTGTGACATGGGCTGATCTGCCTCCTTCAAAAAGGCATGCTGGAGTCCTAACTCCGGCCCTGCGACCGTGGCATGGCCAGAGACAGGGCCTTTGCAATTGTCAAGTGCCGGAGAGGTCACTGGGCTGAGCCCTGTATCCCATGACCAATGTCCTTACAGAAGGGAGATCTGGACACAGGCGCACGGAGGCCACGCGAAGGAGCGAGATCAGGCTGATGCGCTCACAAGCCGAGGAAGCCTGGGGGCGCCGGCGGCCTGCGGAGGGAGGGAGGGGGCCTGGAGCAGACCCCGCCCCGCGGCCGAGGCGCCAGCCCTGAGCCACGGGAGTCTGAGGCCAGCCTCCAGCACTGAGGGAGCCCATTCCCGCTGCTCCGAGCCACGTGGTCTGTGGAACTTGCTGGAGGCGGCGGGGCGAACGGACACAGCGAGTCCAGCTCCTCGGCTGTTTTCTCGGCACCGGCAGGAAGCCGCCATGGCCTCCTTCAGCACTGGAGGGACTGGGGCCTCCCTGCCTCTCCCCGCTCCCCCGGCCCCTGCCCCCACACAGCCCAGTTCTCTGGGGGTTCTGCCCTGGAGGGTTGGAGTCGGGGCTGTCTGATCTACCTGATGTGGGGAGATGAAAGCAAGGGGGGGCCATGGCCTTGGAGACCCCACGCCCAAGTCCGGGCACATTTTCTTCCCGTTGAAGCCAAAGGATGTGGCCTTCGCATGGCCCCCTTGGTGCCTCTAGCTGGCCGGTGCCCGCTTCTGCACCCTCCACCCATTCGCCTTGACCGCTGCCCGTCAGAGCCACAACCGCAGCCCACGGGGCCCACCTCCCCAGCAAGTCCCCGTGGGGTCCCAACCTCACAGCTTTCCCTCTTCCTCCCTCCCTCCCTCCCAGAAGGCCTCCCCTGCCACCTCCCTTCGAGCTGGAGGGGTCCCACAGGCGTCTTTTCACTCGACAAACACGCGCATCTGCTGCTCCCCGTGCCCTGGCCGGTGGCCCGGTAGGGCAGTCCCGGGCTCCAGGGAGGCAAACTGTGATGGGCGGTCACCTGCATTAGATTGGTTGGGGGGGAGGCGGTGCATCAGGGAGGTGGCTGAGCCAGCGGGGGGTCCCGGGTCAGCACAAGCTTCCCGAGGGCTGTCCCCTGAGCTGAGGTGACCAGGGCGGGTGAGGGCCAGCTGGAGGAGAGAACTCCCGGAGGGTGAGTGCCGGCCCTGGGAGGGGCTGAGGGCTCTCAAGGCCAGCCCTGGTCCTGGCATGGGCCCGGGAGGGTGACTGGGGAGTCAGAAGAGTGACCGTCAGGTCTGCCCTGTGGGTCCTGGAGGAGTGAGCGCGGGGGACACTCACATTGGGGAGAGGGAGAAACACCCAGGATGCAGAGGCCCGGGGATGGCGGCCACCCAGGCCCACGACAGACACACCTGGGGGCTGTGAGCAGACATGGAGGGCTGGGGACAGAGCCCGGGGCAGTCAGACAGCCGAGAGGCGGCCAGCCCACCCAGGGTGCCGAGCAGGGGAGAGGCCGAGAGGCTGCCACGAAGCGGGAGGGAGGACAGGAAGATGGAGAGGGGAAGCTGCAGGGAGGATGTGGGGCGCCTGGGTGGGGGGAAGAGGACAGGCGCCGAGAGAAGGAAGTGTCGTGAGGGCTGGGGTGCCCCAGCCCCTGCACAGGCCCCTCTCCCCGGACCCCTGGAGCCCCGGGGGGTGCTGGCCATCACCGCCTGCTACCGGCAGCGCTTCCTCCGCCTGACACCTGCTGCTGTCTGGATTCCTGAGGAAATTCTGCGAAGCAGGTGGGGTGGGCACGACTGCCTGGGACAGGCGATGGGACAGAGGAGGTGGCCGGCAGGAGAACGTCCCGCCCCCCCCCCACCAGCCCAACGCAGCCCCGCAGGGCAGGTGCTCAGTGAAGACTAGTGGCTCTTCGGTTGCCATGGCACCGGCTTCCTGGGCAGCTGGCCCGAGGCGGCGGAGGCCCGGGACCCTCCCCTCGACAGCCTTCGCCAAGCAGGGGCTGCACGCCAGCCCCCGCAGCCTCCGATGAGGGTGCCCAGCAGACTGCACCCTGCTGTCACGAGACCCGCAGATTCCAGCCAAACCGGCCCGACCCTGGCCGGGCAGAGGAACAGGCACTGCCTCCCCGACCCAGACCCCACCCTAAGCCCCTGCAGACACACCGCAGCTCCCAGGCTAAGTGGCCGTGAGGTCGCAGGGTGGCCTCGGGCAAGCGGGGAGCAGCGCAGGAGCTGGGGCCAGGCCGCCCAGAACCCGCCCGGGGCCTCGCTCCTGCCCCCACCCTCGCCAGGTGGCTGTGGTCACATCTCTCGCACATCTCTCCCTGACGTGTGCCATGCCAGGGGTCTTCCCAGGAGTGGGGAGCTGGGATGCGGTGTGCGGACGTGCCCTGGAGGCAGCTCTGTGCTGCGTGCCCAAGTGTCAGCTGTGGGCAACGCCCCCAGGAGGGACAGAGGAGGGGGAGGCTGAGGCAAGGAAGCACGGTCCCCAGGGAGCGGCCACTCAGAGGGGTGAAGGCAGCATGAAGAAGGGTGACCAAAGGCAAGACAGGCCTGTGCTGGCCCTGAGGGACAGCTTCCTGGACTGGCTGGGGACGGTTCCTGTTTTAAAGCCAGCCTTCGCCCAACACGGTGCCTGCGGTCACTGCTGTCAGCCTCTGGCCCCACCCCCACCAAAAAGGATCATTCTTTTTTTACCAACAGAAACAAACAAACAAAACAAACAAAAGGAAAGTGAACGCGAGGCACAGCTGCATCGCGCAGGAGCCCGGTACGAGGGGCTCACGCACAGACGCCAACACGCGCCACCACCTGAGCCAGCGGCGCGGGGATCCACAGCCCCAAGACAGTCTGAGGAGCCACAGGTCACTGGGACCAGAGAGGGTTCCACACCACTGTCTGGGAGTGGCGCTAGCTCCAGAAACCCCCTCCTAAAGCGGGAGTCTCCAGGGGTGTCCCCAAAGATGACATGTGGGGAGCAGGGTTGCTCATGTTTGTTGAGTGGGCTTCAAGACATTTAAAAATGCATTTTGCTTGGTTTCTCAAAGAGAAATAGTGTCTGGCCCGAGACGACGTGGTCTGCAAGTCTCTTCAGGCCCCTGGGCGACGGCCTGAGCAGGGCGGGCACCCCGGGCGGCCACCCTCGTTGGGAAGGGGCGGGGACCACGTCCAGCTGTTCGCGAACGTGGCCTGGAAAGAAGGGCGAGACCTGAGAGAGCACACTGGGGTCACGCCCCGGCCCCGGCCCCTTTCAGCAACGACCGCAAAGCAGTGGGTTTTA